GCCAGGCTTCAGGAGATGGAGGCTTCTCCACATCTCAAACAAAGCCAATAAAAGATGTATATACTTATATAGTATATTTGTTTAATGGGATACACTACACGAAAACCATTTACCAACAGATGTTACCAGTTTTCTGGAATTGTACATTTGAATATGCAAATGAGTCATTATCTTATATGTGCATACATCAGCAAAAGATACATCTGAACATTGGATGAATCAAGGTTCACTTATTTTTTTCATTTTGTTGACATAAATAATAAATATGATATGTTACTAGAAACAAAAACATTATAAATGTAATATGTAATATTCTTTAAATTCTATAAACCTTTGTAAAACCTTTTTGAATATAGATATATGGATAGGAATGAAGCTGGACTGATCAAACCTTCAGAGTGATTTAACTGACTCATTAAACTGTGAATATGAACAGTTTCTGCGCTAAGGTCAGATGATGAATAACCATTCACTACAGTATCTCCATTTATGGTTGAAGGTTAACTAAGTTAGCATTTATTCATATTTAATCAGACTCTGGAGGATTACAGTGCCAGAATTGGAAATGATTTTGAATGTCACTGTGATATTTGAGACTTATTTAAGATAAATGGGGATGTTAATTTCTCTGCAGATATAAATAAAAGAAGAAATCCTGCGCTCGCTTTATTTATCTTATTTTTTCGGGACAGTTTGTGATGCTGCTGCTGTGTTTCCACTGAGCAATGAAATCCAGCCGGATTGTCCCATTTATAATAGCATTATGCATAATGTAAGACAGTCCTCTAATGAATCCTAATACATTTAAATATGGTTGTGTTGTTGTTTGTGTTCTAATCTTTGAATATGGAGTAGCCCAGGATTTCCTGTTATAATGAGAAACTAATATAAGGCTTCTGAGTACATTTAAAACGCAAATGAATCTTAGGATGCTTAAAGCAGTAATGAAAACAACAGTTTAAATTATTTTTACACTAGTAAATGCATTCTGGCTGCTTTAGGTGTTTGACAATGCCCTTCAAACTTTAGCAGACTTTAAACTTTGCAGGCCTCATCACTCTTCCATCTTCATTCAGCTCTCACAGACGGGTAATAAGTAACTCCAGACAAGACATTTCTTTGTTCTCCCGTCACCTGGACACGTGTCCTCACAGACCCCAATGTCTTTCAACTGTGACAAGTGTGCCTGAGCCTCACTGATGACTGCTTAATCATTAATGGCGCTATTACCGCCTGATACATCTTTAAACAGCAGCTGTCTCATTTCTAAAGCCGGTTTTTAATAGCTTCATCTGTGGCCATTTCTGGAAAAAGAGGCACAGGGTTTCACATTGTAGGAGAAGTGAATGTATCCTCACATCCGGCCTACATACCAGAGTCTAACACGTAGCATTCAGTTCATTGATTTATGATTAACGTTGCTGTCATTTAGGTCCTTTTGTCCTATGATCTTGATTAAGACATTAGAGCGCTTAAGCTTGTCCTGACATTAATGTGTACTTAATGGTTTTTTTCTCAACTGATGACCGTCATTTTTTGGTGTTCACCTCTAGCTGCTTTTTCCCATTGTCCCTACCCTCGTACACGCACCATTATGTGCTACTGCTGCCCTCAAAGCCATTAAAGATAAGATGGACGGCACACACACACAGATACACAGACACAGTCATGCAATGGTACAAATGTACACACGTGTGCAGCAAATGCAAACATACAGTGGCAAGATACACAAGTGTTCTCCTGATAATCATTTATAGAGCTTGGTGGCGAGGGGCAAAGTGCTGTTATCGCATGCTAGCAGCAATTTTCATCCCTCCAAAAGCCCTCCACACCAAGCTGCAAACACCATTAGCTCGTACATGCAGGAGATACGATGTGCACTTTCTGTAGCTGCGCCAAGTACTTCTTGTCGGCTGTCATCCTATGGAGAGATAATGAGTCCTCCTTTTCCATAGTGCCATACCCAGGCCAAAGTCCATTATTGCATGAGAACAAAATGACTAAATCCTTTGCATGTTGCTGGGTCTCAGGGGATTTGAGGAGTCCTTCAGAGTTGGACCGAGCCGAGGGGATTTCAAAGATTTTCTGCCATATTTTTTTGCTCGGAAGGTTTGTCTTTTATAGGCAGGATTGTGATGTTCTTCCATGCTAATCTGTTGCGCCCCTCATTGTGCTCATGTAAAACAGTTGATGCTCACATGTAGGCGAAAACAGGCCTGAAATACCAAGGCTCTGTTCACAACACAAAGGGCAGATCTCCCTCCCCTCCTCTGCCAAAGAGTTGAGGCAGTCATTCTGCATAGTGGATGTTCAATAATTCATGCCAAGACACGGTGAGAGATTGGTAATTGTCTTGCCACGCAGGGCTCTTTGCCTCCTCTGCATTATGGGTCTTATTAAATCCATATGCATCTTGATGCTTTGTTGTAGATTTATGGGGCCGTGTGTATAAATCATCCATTTAATGCTTTGCTGGGAGGATGATTACCTTTTGTGAAGTTGGTTTAGTAAATGTGCCGTCAACTTCTTACTTACTTTTACAAAATTAATGTCGATTTTTTTTGTGTAAATGTTACAGAATGTTGCAGGACTACAGTTAAAGGTAGGGTAGGTAAGTTTGAGAAACCAGCTCGAGTGCGCTAGAATTTGAAAATACACAGCCGGAAAAAATCTGCCACTTCCTTACAGAGCCCCTCCTCCAACACACACGAACGCGCACATGACCAATGAGGGCACGAGATAAGTGTGTGCCCCGATGGAAGGCTGACAGGCAGGTAGGCCATCCAGTTATTTTAGCCGGGCCGGCTAAAATGATTGGTCGTGCTTTTTACAGTATTACGGCTTCCACAGATGACATTTTTGAATGGATTTTTTGTCAAAGCACTTAAGATATTCATTGCTATCGGGATGTTAAGAGCATTCCATGGAATATAACAAAAAGTGTATCTCGAGCCGGTTTCTCAAACTTACCTACCCCACCTTTAATCCAAAAGTTGGTTGAATATGAAGTTGACAAGAGACCCAGAAAGTACATTTCACAGGTAAAATACTAATTGACAGGTAATTCTTCCCAACCAACATTAACCATTCATAGAGACGAGCATGGTTTGCAATTTAAACAAAGCAAACGCGTACTGTAAACAGGTGCGATTTGAAAACTATGAAATGTTTTAGAGCCTGTCTTTCCGCCACAGTGGTGGGTGTTCACTCGTATGTATGCAGTGTTGAAAGATGAATGAACAGCGAAAGGGAAGAAGAAAGAGAGAAGAGGGTCCAGAAGTGGCACGAACTGGAGCACAGCGGGATGCGGTGCGCCTGTGATCGTGACTTGAGAAGAACTGTAAATGTGGTGTGAGAAGGAGGGAACATGCTTTATAGCCTGATGAGAGAAAAGGCCTTTTACAATTTTCAGTGTGCCGAGGCTGTGAGATGAACCCTTGAAATCCACCTAATCAGCTCTGTCATACTGTAGCAGCGTGTGTGTTTGATTGTGTATGTGTGAGAGCATCTGAGTGTGCCTAATACTTACTAGACAGATGCTTAGGGAGCCATAAAGAATTTAATAGCCAGCACAACCTCCTTAGCAGCGACTGTTCTGTGAATTGTTGGCTGCAAGTGTGCAAAATAAGGATCTTTTTGACTTGGATTGATTTCTACAGCAGAGCACTGACCGCTCACATCTATACAGGACCTGACTTGACTGCTTATCCTCTATAAACAACCGCACCGACATGAACAAATAATGGATGTCCTCGTACATGTGTGTCCATGTCTTTGAGTGACTTGATGTTGTCTTGTTTTCTCGCTTGTGCTCTCCCTGGTGATCAGTGCTGAGCTGGGCCTAATTTTAGGTGTGTGATGTGTGATGTGCGATGTGTTTGAGGCTCTGGCTGTGTCGGAGGTGTGATGTTTATCCCTGCCTCTGGAGGATAGCTCTGACAGCCTTTTTCAATTGACCAAAGCTTCTGATAAAAGCCCTTGTTAAAGATAAATAAATCACCCCAATGTGTTGCTATATTACTGTGCGAGTGTGTGACCCATTTAAGGACTGAGCTTCATAGAGTGCACATGGTGTCACTTTAGATTACTATCAAAACCATAACAGTATGTTTTAATTCAAGTGTTTGGCCTCGTTTTGGATCTTCACCAGTATTAGAATGGCTTCAGGTCTATTCCCAGACTCACTAGTGAGGTGTCCACTCTGTATTACATATATTTCAAAACCATAAAGCTGATATCTGTAAAAAAAAGATAAAGAAACTAGTATGTTGTCCTGAGTGGTCTCCTAAATTTGAAATCTGAAGAGTTCCATCATAGCAACAAACCATTGAAGAACAATCTCCAAATATGTATGTAGGACAAAATACTTTTTTTTTTACAGATAGCAGCTTTATGGGTTTGAAGTATATGTAATACATAGCAACAAGCGATTTAAGAACAATCTCCAAATATGCAGTTACCCTGGTTTAGTATCTTCGAGCTCTTTGTTTTGGTTTTACAGGCTCTATCTTTGTATTTACTCTCACTGCGCTCATCAACCTTGGCACAAAGCTGTTCTCAGTACAAATACTCTGATGAAGCCACTGCATCATTCCTGAGCAGCAAACAGCAGCTGCACAATGCTAGCAACATACAGATATATATATATATATATATATATATATGAAGGATGGAAGTATTAAAATAAATTGATTTAAAAAACGGAAGCGATGAAAATGCACGTTAATTAAAAAATGCAGCATTAACAATAGATGTGAAATGAAAATGGAAGGATAAATTATCAAGTGATTTGATTAATTGAAATCCCATTTGATCAAAGCAGTCATGTTTCATCATTTTCCCCGTGTTGCAAAACAAAATGTCAGTTGATGCAGTTTAATGAAGTATGGAATCACATTTTTGCCTTGAAAACTACAGTAGCAAAAGTGTCCTTACATTGAGTGTTTTTCTCTTCTATCACTATGATGAGTTGTAAAAATCTCCCTCTGTCCTCCACACAGATTGAAGACATTGTTACACGAATACAAGATGAGAAAGCAGGAGGTGTCGCCATCCGGACTGTCAAAAGCTTCCTCTCCAAGATCCCCAGCGTGGTGTCAGGTGAGTACTTGTTTGTGAAGAGATAGTGTCTGGACTTGCCTGTTTACTGTATGTGGCTGCGTGTGATACCACATCAACATATGCTGCAGTATCTTGTATTTCTTCCTAAATTAGTGTTTGCCTTACTTGATGTGCTTGATGTAGGTGTGTGTGTGTTTTGTTCAGGATCAGAAAAGCAAATATTACCTTTTTGGGCTAATTGAAATGGCTGCCACTGAGGAAACGGCCTGTGGTGTGACGCTGCCCTTGTCACACTTCTCCTTCTCCTCTCGCCTGTGTCCATCTGTGTGAATGCCCTGTGCTCCTTCATGTGTTGGTGTATGTGTATGCTTGTGTATGACATGAGTCACCAGTGTTGGACGACGAGGTCGCTCCCGCTCTCCCAAAGGTTGTTTTTCGGAGTCACTGCTACGCATTTCTCCCCCCGGCCCGATGGCTGCACTATCTTGCTCAATAGCCTCTGCCAAAGCACAGATAACCGGCCAAACATTGTGCTGTCCAGGAGCAGGGAGAGACAGGACTACCAACCTGTGAACATCATGTTACATTTAGACAGCTTCCACTCACGGCCTTGAACAGGGACGGATCACAAAGACTTCCTCGAAGCTCATTTGTGTTTCTGGATTGCTGCTTTTGTCGAAACTACTGCACATGTAGGACTGTGATGTCACTTCTTCTAACTGATTCTTTGAATACAGGAGCGGACATTGTTGCGTGGCTGATGAAAAACCTCTCCATTGAGGACATAGGTAAGCCCGCTGAGAAATGTTTCATAACATGCGATCACAATAGAGCTCAATTGAAGAGGAAAGCAATTTGAACACCCCCCCCCACTTCCTCCTATCTGTGTGCTTTTCTCTCATGTCAACAGCTGAAGCCATCCACCTCGGGAGTTTGGTCGCTGCCCATGGCTACATCTTCCCCATCTCTGACCATGTGCTGACCCTTAAAGATGATGGAACCCTTTATCGCTTTCAGGTACGGGAACACTCACCGTGGGCGAACCCTTGGTATGTGTAAGGAGGCCTTTTTAAATATCCAATTATCAGATGATGGTAGTTCAATCAAGAGGGATGTGTTTATAGCTTGATGCTAATGATACCAAGCCTTGCTAAGCCTATTACTCACCCCACCAAGGTCGATATTGTGTATCCCTGCTGGACGCTGCGTCAGAGCAGGATGTGAGCCGCAGAACGGGGCCCGCAGGCCGCCGCGCAGCTTCTCAGAGGGGTGTTTTTTATTTTTATTTTGCTACATCCTATCCAGCATGAACTTTGACAGATCCCTCTGACGGCTAACGGGCTCCACGGTGACTCAATACTGTGACCGGGACATTAGGATCTTAATTCTGGCCAGCTACACTCGGCAGGCTGGGGATGGGGAAAAGCACAGAGTTTGCTCCACGATGGCTCTGCACTTTTTTACCATCACCAGCCCCCCCATCCCTACTCCTCCCACTCAATATACCTCTGAATGCATTTATCTTCACCTCTATTGCTCAGGATTAAAAGCCATTATTGTGCCTGAGCAGAGAGGCCAGCGTGTGTCACACTGGCTCATTCAGAGGGGGCTAAAAATATTCCCTCTGATGTTGTCGTGATGCAACAGGCCCACGTCATCAGAACATAAAAAGAATCCACGGTGCATACGAAATGCATCGGCTAATATCCGTGGCCGGGCTGTAAGGCGTAGTGACGGGGGATGTTTTATTTGCTGGTCTATAAATAGATACTATCCTGGCTGAAGACCCAGATTTAATGACAACTGTATTCTGTTTATAACAAATTAGCTTTTTTTGAGCACGCAGTGAAGGCTTACAGTTAAACTCTCTCCTCTATGCAAATTATAACGCTGATGAGTGCATGTTAACCTTTTTGTCCGTTACACTTAAACAAGCACATTTATCAGCGTTAGCGTCTGCTCTTAGGCTAATTACCGTTATGAGTAATAGTTGGAATGATATATGTGGTTGAATACCACCAACTTCTAATTCTGCCCCGTTATTAAGAATGCATGTTGGATGTGAGTGATCTATTATTAATAGAATCGGGAATGAACTTTGAATGTGTAATATCAGTTGCAATAGACAATTAAATATGGAGAGAGAGAAAATAGCTACCATTGCTCCCCAGATAGTTAATGTGCAGCACACGGACGTCAAGGATCATCATCAAACAATGAGGCGTCTTTCCACTTGGCGTGTGGAAGTGCAGAGGGAGCGTGGGTGGTGGGAGGACTGAGAATCCAACATTCATATTGGAGAATATTATTGTTTATCTTATGGCACTTATGGCAAGTAAAGAATGTAATTTGGATTGTTTGAGTAAATAAACAAACTCTGATTCTGTTTTCATCAGTCTCCTTACTTCTGGCCTTCAAACTGCTGGGAGCCGGAGAACACAGACTATGGTGAGCCACACACGCTCTCGGTTTTTCTGTCTTTCGACAAACTAGTAAGTTGTCGCTAATGCCTTCAGCTGTCTCTCTGAAACACAACTCACACTGTAGTTCTGTTGTTGACACTCTCTGAGTATTGATCCAGAGGGCCATTCCCTGTAACGTATCTGGCCCTCGAGGAGCCCCCACTACACAGAATCCTGCGGGATAAGATTGACTAAACAAAATAAAGGAGCTGCTATGACCATCTCCGGCTGTCTGCATGGCATTTACTCAAGGCTTGTTATTTCCGAAGGCAACACGCCGCTGCCTGCTCCAGCCAAACATTCATTAGTGGTACTTCGCACAGCTGAGACCACAGTAAAAAAAGAAATCCATTGGAGATTTTCCTTTTTTATTTTGCAGCTACAAAGCAGATAACCCATCTGATTAACTCTGTTGGGCTTTTCATGTCTCACTCTCTCTCCCTTTCCTCCCCTCCAGCCATTTACCTGTGCAAGCGCACCATGCAGAATAAGGCCAGGCTCGAGCTAGCTGACTACGAAGCCGTAAGTACACTTTCGTTTTTGGTTTAGCGATTGCCGGGAAGCTCTCAGTTCAGTGCTCTTACAGTGTCTGGAGCATACTCTGATGACACTCTGAATTTCCTGTTTTCTTGCTGAAAAACAGAAGAGCTGTAACAATATCCTCTGGGGCCTCGAAAGGCCAACATCAATTCAACCCTGCAGAAAGCCATTATCGAATCACAGACATTAAATCAAATCTGTCAAAGGTCATTCTTATTTTTGCAGGAGCACCATTTTACAGAATTCAATGCAGTCATTGGCCCCAAATACAAATATCTATGACCTACTTGGCATTTGCAGATCAATACAGCCCCAAGAGGGGCATTACTGCACTGCTGATCTCCTGCTGATCCACAATAGCAATCCATCGCACTTTGATATTCTCAATTACTGTGCAACTATTGTCCAGCAGACTTCCTTCCCTTCCTATTCAGGTCACTTTATGCCTCCAGGCCTCATTGCTCTCACTGTTAACATCATGCTACTTTGTACTCCGAATATTTGTTTCCCTTTATAATGAGGCCGTGTACAGTGTATGAGGGTGTCGTTTTCTCATACTGATATTCTGCACAAACTGTGCTGTTTGTATTTGCTGTAAAGTGTCTTTACTGTAGGGTATTTTTATTATATGTACAGCACTTTGGCTCGACCAAAAATCGTTTAAAAATGTGCTATATAAATAAAACTTGATTTGATTTGATGACAGCTTTGAGTTGGTATGCAGCTCTGATGTGTGTATTACATTACATTATAATACATTACATGTTACTTGTTGGACGCTTTTATCTAAAGCGACTCACATGCTCAATACTGTGGGCAGTCCCCACAGGAGCAATTTGGGGTGAAGTGTCTTGCCCAGGGACACAACGACATGCTGACTGCAGTGGGGTTTGAACCTGTGACCCCCTGATCCGAACACCTACGCACAATCCACTGCGCCACACACCTCCGCATATGGAGGTGTATATTATGGATTTGTGGAGAGCGTGTGAAGCTTTTATTTATTTTTCTCCTGTATGTATCATGTATGTCCTATGCATCTCAATTAAGACTTTGTAATATGAGTCACAATATTTGTTGGTAATCCGCCTCACATTCAAGATGATTTCCAAAAATGTACCTGACTGAATAAGCACTTAAAGGTCCCATGTCATGGCCATTTCTACTAATACATAATTCCATTGTTGAGGTCTACTAGAATAGATTTACATTGTTCAATGTTCCAAAATCACATTGGTTTTCTCATACAGCATCTCTGTATAGTATGTGTAGTAGGGCTGCACGATAATGGGAAAAACTGACATTGCGATTTTTTCCCCCCTGCGATATATATTGCGATATGAAAAAATACAGGAATTGAAGAAAATAATTTTTTTTTTGTCCGCAAACCATCCTTTCTTGAATTTAATGCTATACAATTGGTATTTTTCTAACTATATTTAACCTGATGAAGGATTTTAGTCACGGACGTCTGGATCTTAAGTTATCAGAGCAACAAGCTGAGCTAGCTCGGTTAGCAGCGCCGAACTGCCCTGGAGAAACACATGAAACTACTTTATTCAGTGTTTTTACCTTTAATCACGGGGTCCGTTTGCTTTGGAGATTTGATTGTGATTGGTGGTTTGCTGTGCATTCAGAGCCTGCATGTCACTCACTCAAGTACCCCTGACATGAGAGCCGCCCAAGTTTTCCTTTTGTAGCAAGCAGCAAAAGAATTGTAACATGACGTGTTTGAGTTAATTTGCCTACTTAATATCGCACGTGCTGCGATGTGAATATCGCGCATGCGCATATCGCGATTATCGTCACGACACGATATATCGTACAGCCTTAATGTGTATTATGTGTTACAATGGCGTTTGTTAGCAACCAGAAAATGACACCAGTAATGACAAACAGAAAAATCTCCAACGAGGGGTTCTGGAGCAGCATAGACACGTCTTCTCTGTGTTAGAGTTGTACTCGCTACAGGGTGTACTTTGAGGGTTTGTGACTTTGCAGACCGTTTACATGCATAAAAACCTTCATAACACACAAGGGGACGGGTAATAACCGGAAAAGCATGACATGGGACCTTTAACCCCTGTAAGGATTAAATTAATGAAATATAAAATGTTGATTCGCTTTAAAAGTGTTAGCAAGCAGATTTTCCTTTGAAACTTTAAGCAGAATCAGGATAGCTGTTTCCTGTTTCCAGTCTTTATGCTAAGCTAACTGGCGGTGTAGCTTCATATTTACAGTACAGAAGGTAAAGTGGTGTCGATCTTCTTATTTAACTCTCCAAAAGACAGCGAAAAAGACATATTTCCTAAAATGTACAATGATTAGCTCAATAGCGTATTTGTGCCTATGAACACTTTTTTCATTTGAATTAGTGTGTAGTATCAGTCGCTCAGAGACACGTTAGTGAGAAGTCGCCCCATGCCGTCAGCGCTGGCCATCACATTGAATAAATAATGTAATCATCTTAAGGCCTTGAATTCAAAAAGCCCTCTCCCCTCACGCTGTGCTGATTGGTTCCACCAGGAGAACCTCGCCCGGCTACAGAGGGCTTTCGCCAGGAAGTGGGAATTTATCTTCATGCAAGCTGAGGCTCAAGTCAAGTGAGTATGTGAGAGCGTACATGTCGGTATAAACCCATTTCCTCCTGACGTCAGAGGCATGCTAACATGACACACTTACAGCAGGATATAAAAAGATGTTGGTGACATCAGGTTTACATTCATACTAACCTTTGGATGCATGCATTATTTGTTATTTCCCCAAGGGATGGAAACAGTTTGCACAGTGTGCATTGTCCTTAGGGGAAATGCTTTTTTTCATTTACTGTTTTTATGCGCTGCTTTGACTGCAGGGTTTCATGCATTAAATACAGCAAGCATCCTCCTTATGGAATTAAACACACACATTTCTGCCTAATTTCTATCTCTTAGCAAGACTTCCATCTGGTGGCTTGCATGTGTAAACACAGCACTGATATCTCATGCATTTCAGTGAGAAAAGAGCCTTCTTCTTCTAGAAAAATGTGTTAAAAATGGTCATTGTATAGCGGCAAATCTATAGTTCAAGTGAGGGTGATATGGAAGGCAATAACTCTCCTTACGCCTGGGGAGCAAACCATAATCTGGCGAGGGCCGATCAGTAAATGTCAGTTATGTAATAGATCGGGCCCAACAGAGGCGAAACCAGACATTGCTTAGTTAGGCAGCAGACAGTTCATAACCTATACTCTTTAGACTTTTCCTCCCTAGTCTGTCCTGCAAGTGGTATTTACATAAACGTGGCTTAAATATGGGGCCTGATTTATTGTGTTTGACTTGGTATTTCAGAGGAACATGTTCTATTTTTAAGTGTCCTGTTTCCTCTGTTGACAGGATTGACAGGAAGAAGGACAAGGCAGAGAGGAAGATCCTGGACAGCCAGGAGAGGGCATTCTGGGACGTCCATCGGCCAGTGGTGAGTTGGCACTATGAATAAAAGAAAAAGGACACTGTGTAAAAAATGCAAATGAACAAAGAAAAGACTATTATGTTGGAAGACAATTTTAGCATTTAAAGCCTGAAAACAGCAGATTCAGCTCCACATGGTTCAGCTTAGAGCCCTGTTTGTCGTTGGGAGCAGAATCAGATGTGGTGCCAGTCACTTTGCATACAAGCCTTTTGTTAGCGTAGCATTGCTGAATAGAGACAGAGCATCATATTGTGTGAGGAGGACGGGTGCAGATAATGCATGCAGCAGAAACATTGTTATCTGACCCTGAAACACACTCTTTCTCCTGTCGCCTCGCGCAGCCAGGCTGTGTCAACACGACAGAGATGGACATCCGCAAGTGCCGGAGAGAGAAGAACCCACACAGGGTAAAAAAGGTAAGAGACGATGACGGGTTAGCTTTTTAACTTAGTATAATTTTTTTTTTAACTTAAACACGGTTTTCATCAGCAAATGTTTACTAAAAATGACCACAATAGTTTTCTTGGACTAATCACCAAAACTCCCATTACTTTGTTTTATTCATTTGACCTCTCAATAACATTTACTGTAAATTTGACCCCCCCTGAATACTTAAAAATTCAAAAATGGTATGCATAGTTTTTGCTGAGTCCTAAGGATAATTGTATTTGTATATAGTCATTCAAACATATTTTACTACATTTGTATTTAATTGATCAAATATGTCATGACATTTTTGTGTTGGGACAATGCCATTCATCTAAATTCATATATATATATATATATATATATTGTGAAGAATGTCAAAGTATATTTTTGTTTGTTTTTTTCTGTTGGAAAGATTTTGCATTAAGTCACACAGTACTACTAATTTTTAAAAGTGTAAATATTTATATCTAAAGCAATCTAATGATTCTTAATCAGTATTGTAATCAGTATTGTAATCAGTATTGTGTCTGGGGACTGGGGACCCCCCAGTCCCCAGACACAATACTGAGGCCATGATGCTAGCTGCTCCCACACCTATTAGCTAGCATCCATCAGCTACATTACAGAGTCCCTGATCTGTCATGATTTATCATAGCAACAACAACAACATGTCTCTTCTCTTGTTGTCTCCAGTCGGTCTACGGGGTTCCAGATGACGGCCAGAGCCAGCCGAGTCCGGTCCACATCAGCTCCCAGCCGAGCAGGAAGCCCACCAAAGAGGACATTCAGAAGGAGGTAAATCAGTGAGAGCCTTCTCCTGAGGTCATTACCAGCAGTCGGCCGCGCCCATCCATCATCACGACATTTGGGGCTGCAGACTGATGAGCTGTTACCTTATTTAGCTCCCTCATTATTCTCCCTCTCCATCAGATTTCCTTCTTGAACATCCAGCTGGACAGACACTGTATGAAGGTTTCCAAAGTGGCCGACAGTCTGATGAGCTACACGGAGCAGTTCATGGAATATGACCCCTTCGTGTCGGCCACGGAGCCTTCAAACCCCTGGATCGGTGACGACTCGTCCTACTGGGACCTGGAGGCGAGGTGAGGCTGGATGTGGGCAGATGATGCTTTAAACCAGGGGTCGGCAACCTTTTTGATATGAAGTGAACTGTCAACAGGAGGGCGGGGGGAGCCTCGCTGCGGGGAAGCAGTGTGTGGACCTGTCAGCACAACTTACATGATCCCGAATTTAACAAACCAATTAAAATAATTAGTTTAAACGGCATAATAATAAGGACGATCGTCCTTTCTGTGATTCTCCAGAACACACAGATGGCCAGTCCGCCCCTTTTGTAGCATATTATTTCGATGAGAGATGAGCAGATTTGTGAAGTGCTTTCCTCTGTGGTGAAACGATCAGCCCTGCACCACGGAGGAAAGCGGCAGAAAGTCGCCTGGAGTTAAAGAGAGCGGGGCTGCGTTGCGTGCATGGCTTCCTTCTGCAGGTAACAGGGGGACGCGCTCTGGCTGTGGTCTCGTTCAGGATCCGAAAATAAAATTTTAATATTTTGCACACTTATTCCACTTATTCCTAGTGTGCCACTGGTTACGGTGCCAGGGGTTGCCGCCGACCCCTGCTTTAAACAGACCCGAGGTCAGGTGGAGCGGAGGTCTCGGTGATGATGAACTTTTGTTGATCTGTCGGTTTCTATCTCTTCTCAAATAAGAACCAATGCTGACATTTCCCCAAGGTTTACTGTGCTCTGACTTCCTGGTCTCTGCTCTCTGCACACCGTGAAAAAAAATGACCTATTTTTTCTGTTCCTTTCTAATCTGTTTTATTCTGAGCAGTCGTGACCCCAACCAGCAGCGTGTGAAGAAATGGGGCTTTTCTCTGGAGGAGGCGCTGAAAGATCCAGCAGGACGAGACCAGTTCCTGAAGTTCCTCGAGTCAGAGTTCAGCTCAGAGAACCTGCGGTGAGCTCACATGCCTTGTAATACAGTACAGCCACAATAATCAATATTTAGATATTAACAAGTCACATGAGACTCGTATGTGTAATGGGACACTCATGATGATGCAGGTTTCTTTTAATCTGATGATCCAATTTATATTTGGGCAACTTTCTGCTTATTTAACATGTTTTTTTTTAATGATAACTACTTTGAGTCCTTAATTCCTGAAGCTGCACAGATTGAAGTAATAGCATACACAGTGTTGGAACGGAAGGAAGAATGAGAGTAAAATATCTAAGTTCAGTTTTTGAGGAACTTGTAACTACAGTACCATGAACACAAGTGCCAAAATGTACTTTCTACTGTAGATATGTACATATACTTGCTGCTATTTATTGTTTTTATTCGTATTCTAGTTCATTTTATTATGTTGATACTTTATTCCACCTCTAAAGATTTGAAGATTTTAAAGCCTGTACACTTTGCTGCTGAAACAAATAATTTCCCAATTTGGGATCAATAAAAAACCTATCTATCTAACTATCCATCTATCTAACTTAAGTATTTTCATGATCATTTCCATAACGTTATACCTACAAGGAATGAATGTGATTCTTTGACAGCTATAATTATATTTATTTTCTTACACATTTTCTTTTTAATAAAGTATATGCAATTGTTATCAAATTTACAAATTAGCTTAATGCTAAAATTCTAATGACATATTTTCATGCAGCATTACAAAATATAATCATATTTGACTAGTAATAATAATAAAAAGAATAATTATAAAAATACCAATAAGTACTTTTCTACTGCAGACACACACATTTTACATAGATCATCATTTTAACTGGTACATTTTTACTATACCGCTACATTTACCTTTACTGAGAGTAAGATAAAGTCATCATCAGTGTGAATTTTACAAAATCCACCAGTGCCTTTTATGGACTTTTATATATTTTATATTTCTTGAGGGGAGTTAATAATGAATGTGATGCGGTCGCAGCTTCTGGTTGGCGGTACAGGATCTGAAGCGGCGGCCTCTCCAGGAAGTGTCCTCCAGGGCGCAGGAGATCTGGCAGGAGTTCCTGGCGGAGGGAGCGCCCAGCTCTATCAACCTGGACTCCCACAGCTACGAGCGCACCAGCCAGAACCTCAAAGACCCCGGACGATACAGCTACGAGGACGCTCAGGTGGGCCCAGTTGTTTCTTCCTCACGGATGAATGCACATGACTAAACATGTTCACCCAAATACTCACACCTGTCTGAATACACAACAGAAACACCTGATGCAACCAACACTTCTCTAGCGCTACAGTGGAGGAAATCATTATTTGATCCCTTGCAGATTTTTGCCCACTTACAAAGAAATGAACAGTCTATAATATTAATGGTAGGCTTACTTTAACAGTGAGAGCAATCAAAATCAAAAAGAAAATCAACTTGTTCCCTGTATAAAAGACACCTGTCCACAGAATCAATCAATCAGATCCCAACCTCTCCACCATGTAAACTTACAAAATCGGCAAGGGATCAAATAATTATTTCCTCCACTTTAAAAGGCCTCCATAAAGAAAAATAATGAATATACATTTTTATATATGTATACATTCTTTTGAAAAGGTCCTTAAATCATCCCTGTTTACAACACACGCCCACACTACACACCATTTCTTTCCTCTCCATCCACTTACCCGCAGAAACATTGAACCCTTCCACCCCACTCATGTTACACAAGTGAATGAATGAAAGGGCGCGCAGAGAGAAGAAGAATGACGGAGTGTGTGTGTGCCAGGCCCTAATGAGGCGAGTAATGCCGTGAATAGGTTGTCCGCTCGGCTCACCATGGTTTCCCCTGGTTTGAAGTGGGCTGTGACGCGGACCGCAGGAAATTACTGCCAGTGAACGAGGCCCGCCGTGCACCGACTTTGAAGCACACATGCATCGCATCTCCATGATCAGACCTCCTTTATTACTCTCCACTTCTTGTTATTCTTCTCCTTTTTTGCTCCCTTTATCCTAGACCAGGGGTGTCCAAACTACCAACTTGAGCTTTTCTTGTATTGTACTTATTAAATATATCTGTAAACATATATTACACAGTAGTGTTCATGTGTTAATAAGCCCGATTTACAATAAATTCAGTCAATTACATTTGAAAATATGTTCTAAGTCGATAAGAAAAAAGCCCAATAACTTATATACATAACAAACTTGAAATATACCCTTCCTATTTCCTCTTATGATAATCAATCTGGGGCTCCTGTTGTAAGGGATGAGCTGCTAACAAATTAAATGAAACCCTCTGGAGAGCTGGGATGTAGGCTGTTTATTTTTCTTAAAGCAGATTCAAGTATCAAGCATAATTTACCTACTTTTGATTGATTTTGCTAACTTATAACTTAACTTATGAGGCAGTATACCTCACCTCTAGTGAGCGGCCCAGCCCTTCGAATATTTTTCTGTATGTGGCCCTCGGTGAAAAAGGTTTGGACACCCCTGAACTAGACCAACACACACTCATCACTTTTTCTCTCTATTGCAGGAGCACATATTCAAGCTAATGAAAAGTGACAGCTATGCACGCTTTCTGCGATCCAACATCTACCAAGACCTCCTGTTAGCCAGAAAGAAGGTGAGCTGCACTCGCTGACCCTGTACATCACCGCTTCTTTTTATAACAGTTGGCCACTCTCATTGCATTTCTCATATTGGTTTGACTATTTATTTGTGATTCATTACCATTATGATGAAAGACATTCCAAATTAATTTCTATCGCTGCTCTATAGAGCTGTTTTTTTTGTTTGGTTCCTACAGTATATGTGCAAAAGGAGGGATAAAGTGGAATTGTATGAATCAGATGTGTAATGATAAATAAATAGCCAGTCACATCACAGGTCTATGCCACAGTGAAGCTTCATATGGTTTAAATGAGCTAAGAACAACAGAGACTCTAGGACTCAGTCATTTCAATCTATTTAAATAGATCTACTGCCTGGAGACTGTTTCATTTAATACATTTCTTATTTGTTACAACATACTATTCTCGGCTTGGGCCTTAAGTAACTCAGTTCTGAACTTAGAAATAAATTGTACTTTTCTGTCCACTACATTTATATGACCGTTTTAGTCTCTACTTACTTTGCTGACCTAAATTACATTTTGTTGTGCTACGAACGAAGCATTTCTACACTTGCTACTTTTACTTCAGTAAAATATCTGAATAGTTCTTCCACATCTAGATAGTGATAATGTTTATTTGACTTAAAGAGGTCAAAGAATTGCACTCAACACTGACATGTAGCTGGGGCATTTTCTTTTTCATCTGACAGCTCATAAAGGAAATCAGCAGTTTGCATCCTAGGCTGGAACAACTAACAGAGCCCTAAGAAGGGAAATCAGCTGTGCCCAGATGCAAGGAAACGGATACATTATGTAAAATGTCAAGAGAACAGTCTCAATAAAAACATGACATCATATGCCAACAGCACACTGCTGTGTAAAAGAGGAAAAACAGTCGTGCTGTAAATAGAAATTAGGCAACATACTGTACATAGAAATGACAGGAAAGCACAGTGTATGAGTTGTTGACCGTGATGGTGATTTTGTTCTTATGTAATTTTCTTTCAACTCCTGTAGGTTAAGGTGTGATTTAAAAAAAGACATATGCAGCTAAACAAACGGTTGTATTGTAATATGGAGCTTTCAGCAAATCACAGCTGTTCATGCTAGCCTCTCTGCCCACCCCCCTGTTTGGCCGGCCCGTCACTGACCCCACTCCATTTCCAAAACAAACATTGTCCTCGGCCCTCATTTTTGCAATGCCTGGCCCCTTTTTGTCCTTACTAACTACATCACCCCCTGACCCCCTCCGTCAACCTGACCCAAACACTCACCCTGCTTCCCCCCCTCCCACAACAGCAGCCAGCAGACACTGAACAGGGCCGCCGCACCTCCCTGGAGAAGTTCACGCGCAGTGTGGTAAGTCAGGGGCTGTTCATATCACCAACCACACTGGCTGCCTCAATATCAGTGGCTGTTGCAACTTTATAACCATAATACACTCAAGTGTGGCTGTTCATACCTGTGATAGGATGTGTATTTGTGAAACACGTAACATGCTAGTCACATGAATGGTTGCAACTAAACATTTTACATTAAAAGATAGAAAGAAGCACCTTTTCGTTGATGTCTTCTGTCATTTATTAAGTACTGTTTACAGTCTATCAATTTGTTTTAATTGACTTTTCAGGGCAAGTCATTGACGGGAAAGCGCCTGACAGGCCTCATGCAGTCGTCCTGACACAGCCTGTGCTGGAGGGGCACAGCCAGACCCTGTCGGGGGGGGGGGCAGCCACACAGGGGCCGGGGCACAGACAGTGAAGCTGGGCTGGACAGGGCTGCTCCCAGGACTGCTGCTGTACTGGTAGTGCAGCACTGGGCCTGAAGGGGGGGGGGGGGGCCCCAAACAGAACCACTGAAGAAGAGACAATGCTGACAAGAGGAACCTCAGCCAACACTCCACATGGCATGCAGCATACAGTATAAGCACATTCAGACTAGGGCTGCCCTCTTCTCACCACTTAGATGGCAAACTGGTTGTTAGGCTCTTTGTTGACTGAGCTTATCAGTTTGTATTGTTTTCATTTGGTTTTATATACGTGTTTATTTGGATATTAAAAGCACATTGGTGGTGTCAAAACAATATTCTTTGATAAAAAACAACATTTAAAAGCTATTTTCCACAGCATTTGCCATGAATCGATTATTGGTTTAGTTGTCCTAAAACAGCTGCGGCCAAAGAGGCACATCAACACAAATCTACAATATTTTGCATAAGTCTCTACTCACAAGGCAGACAGCAATAAAAAAAAGTGAGACCACTTTTTATTTTTAAGAAATATATCCTTTTTATATCCTTAGAATTTCTATTATATCTGTTACTTATAAGTCACATGAAATGTCAGTTAAATAGTGAACATAGTTCATACAAACTTGTTTTTTTTCCCATAAATGATATTTAACAATGTCTACAAAATAGAGGTTTGAAGGTTTAACTTTCCATGCTTCATTACATTCCAAAATCTGGCAAAAGGGCTTAATGTAGCATTCACAATGCACCGTTGCATGTTTCATCCAATGTCTTTGTGGAGGATTTCTTGTTTCTACAACAGTGCTTTGTAATGAGACTTAAAGCAAAGATTAACTTAAACTAGTTGGCAAATTGGGTCAATGAATTTCGAGGCTTCAAGTTCCAAAAAATTCAGGCTGCACAGGCGAATAAGCAAAATCCAAAAGTCTGTGTAAATAACTGAGACATTTGACTTACTAACACGGCCCCCCTGGTTGTGTGGACCGCAGAGATTTGAGCTTTTACTCTTCCTTTAGTCACAGTCGTAGTGTGGACAGCCACAAGTGAAGTGTCATCCATGTCCGTTTTGGGGGCTCCTATGTGTAGTTTTTACAATTTCCAGTGCCATGGGTCCATCTAGTGGTGGGTAAACCACAGGACCAGCAACAGAGTGTTACAATACTGTATTAATTCAACGGTGTTAATCAAGGGACATCATGATATCAACACTATAACATGTTTTCCAATCATGGAGATATTCCAGGCCTGCTCCCAATATGGGATCATATTAGTTTTGTTCTTTTGCTTTTTAAATGCATGAATATCTCATCTTTTGTTTGGTCAAAACAATTAATCCTGCCCATTTTAGTTTGGCAACATGTATGCCGAGACTCATTTAATAATTATCTTTTGTTTAAATGACTATTGGGAATATGGTGCATGTTATTGGACTGTAATGAAGATAGGGGAAGATGGTGCGACTCTCCAAAGGCACACAGTCGAGGAAAAGCCCTCAACTGGAGCAACACTCCTCAGTTGACGAAAATGAAAGCCGTGAAATGCATCTGGGACGATGTTGCACATGTAATGGGCTCCAAACATTGAACATTAAGGCAACTGCTCAACTGACGGCTGCAAACTGATTGAGAAGATGTCCTACAGCGCCCCCATGAGGCCAGTGACTGCTGCAGTGGCAGTGCTGAATGAATGAATGAATGAATGAATCACTTATTACTTTCTATTTAAGTTGTTGCAATGCACTGTACAGGCCATATTAATAATCATCATAACCCAATAACCTCTTGATTATAAGGTAGAGAGAAATGCTTATCAAGAGACGATGTACCAAATGTTATTCTCAGCACAAGCACAATGACTACAGGGTGCATTGTAGATGTAAATTGGCTAAATTTCATTATCCTAAAGCACACTTTATTATGATATGGGCACATTACTATGCATGTAACATATTCAGGGCATTTTGTGCTTTTAGTTTCTCAATCAGCAAGATGACTACTGGCACTCTAAAACACTCAAGCACCTGCTGTTTATTCATGGGTACCAAATAATAAAACTCTGGACCTGTCTTCTCTGTGTTTTGTTTGTGTTGGCTGTTCTGTGTATTTAAAAATATATTTGTATGTCACAAAAATATTTAAAATGTCATGGAATAGTATGTCTAAATACAAAAACTGAATGGTATGTCATAACAAATATTAAAGTATTAATGTAAAAAGAAAATCATAAAAATAATATGTATATACATATGTGTAAATATTTAAATATATTTATCATGTAAAAGAAAATGCGAAATATTATATAATGTCATAATGTAGCATGTCAAAATAATGTGATTTTCAGAAAAGTCATAGAATAGTATATCGAAAAAAAACGACATAGTGTAGTATGTTGAAAATATCAGAAAAACAACATAGTATAGTATGTCCAAAATAGCAGAAAAAAAGTTATAGTATAGCATGTCTATATGTCTATAGCAGTTGGGCACACCTCATTCAATGGTTTTTGTTTATTTTTATTTTTTTCTACTTTGTAGATTAATACTGAAGACATCAAAACTATGAAAAAACACATATGGAATTATCTAGTTAACAAAAAAGTGTAAAAAAATCCAGCATATGATTTTTATTTTAGATTCTTCAAAGTAGCCCCCTTTGGCCTTGATGACAGCTTTGCACACTCTTTGCTTCTCTCAGTCAGCTTCATGAGGTCGTCGCCTGGAATGGTTTTCTATCAACACGTGTGCCTTGTCAAGAGTCCATGTGTGGAATGACTTGCCTTCTGAATGTGTTTGAGACCATCAGTTGTGTTGTGCAGATGTAAGGTTAGTGCACAGTGGAAATCCCTATTTGAATACTGTTGTAATCCATATTATGGCAAGAACCACTCAACTCAGTAAAGAGAAACGACTGTCCATCATCACTTTAAGAAAAGAAGGCCAGTCGATCTGGAAAATGTCAAGAACTTTGAATGTATCCTCAAGTGTAGTCGCAAAAACCATCAAACGCTATGATGAAACTGGCTCTCATGAGGACCCCCCTGGGGAAGGAAGAGCAAGAGACACCTCTGCTGCTGAGGATAAATACATCAGAGTTACCAGCCTATTAGAGCCCACATAAATGATCACAGAGCTCAAGTAGCAGACAAATATCAACATCCACTGTTCAGGGTAGACTGCCTGAATCAGGCCTTCATGGTCCAACTGCTGCAAAGAATCCACTACTGAGGATGAACAAGAAGAAGAAGAGAATTGTTTGGGCAAAGAAACACAAGGATTGGACATTAGACAGTGGAAATTTGTACTTTGGTCTGATGAGTCCAAATTTGAGATGTTTGGTTCCAACCGCTGTGTCTTTGTGATACGCAGAGAAGGTGAGCGGATGGTTTCTGCATGTGTGGTTCCCACCGTGACGCATGGAGGAGGAAGTGTGGGGGTGTGTGGGGGCTTTGCTGGTGACTGTTGGTGATTTATTCAAAATTCAAGTCACACTTAACCAGCAAGACTACCACAGCATTCTGCAGTAGCCAGAAAAATATAAAATCATATTCTGGACACTTTTTTGTTTAGTAGATAATTCCATATGTGTTCTTTTATGGTTTTGATGTCTTCAGTATAAATCTACAATGTAGAAAGAATTAAAATAAATAAAAAACTTCGAATGAGAAGGTGTCCAAACTTTTGACTGGTAGTATATATGTCAATAATATTAGTTAAAAAGTCATAGTATAGTATGTAGAAAATATCAGTAAAAAAAACCATAGTATAGTATGTCCAACATTTCGTAAAAAAAGTTATATGTCAAAGTATAGTGTATGAAAAAGGTATTCTTAGCTTAGTATGTCGAAAAAGATTATCATAGCATAGTGTGTAAAAAAAATGGTATCATTGTATGAAATAAAAGAAACATTAAATGTAATTTAGGATGCCATCAAACAATCATAGTAAAATATGCTAGAAAAATGTCATTCATATTATAGTCTCCCATAACACATGTCATAAAAAAAGGCATTTTAAGAGGTCATAAAATAGTATGCCATAAACAAATTCATAACAAAACATAATATAGAATAGAATGTCATTTAAAATAAGTCACACATACATCCAGAAATGGAATAGAATATGCTGTCTGGTGAATACTGAATACAAATACTCATACATAAAAGAATGTACATATGTTGGCATAATATTGTTCCTTGCTTGTTATATGTTATTGTTGAATCACAGCTAGTCTCTTTAGGAGGTTGTTGCATTGACCTTTATGGGTTTCTTGCTCCTGTGTAAATGTTACTGCCACTCTATAATGAAGTCATTTGACATATTTCATAGAATCTGCTCACATAACACGACAGCAGTTCTTCCCTTAAATCATTTTCAAGACTACAAACCTTTCTATTTTATACCTGCAGTTAACATTTAGATATTATTAGATCTTACTATAATTGCTTGTAGTAAATATCTCACTCTGAAGGCAGACTATGGCTCATATATTACTTCTACCGACTGAATTGTGACTTCTCAAGCAGCACCTACGGATCAATAAGAGCCCCTGTGCTGGACTCCTTGATTGTGCCTCAGCTCTCACAAACTCAAGTGCTTTTTTTCTTTCTGTCTGCTCACAGATTCTGAGGGTCACTCCAACCTATCGATCCAGTCTAGGATTCTTCTGCTTATCAGCTGCACTTCCTAAATGACCCTTGGTCTTTCTCAGAAAACCAGCACAGAGCATTATCATTCATTCTTTATTTTTTCAGAACAATAAAAATAGTTTAACAAACAAAGACTTCTTCATTCTCTCCGTTTCGACTCGTATTTACAGCTGAAGATGAAACAAACGCCCAGTCATGTCCATTTCATCTCCTCTTGGCTCCGTTCCCACCCTGATCCTCCCTCTTCAGCCAGAGCACCAGGGCCTATTGCTGTGTCTTTGACGAGGTATACAGGCTATTCAATGATTGGTGACATGTATTTCCAAGCCGACATCACTGACTTTTGCATTTAGGAGCTTCTCCTTTTGTTCAGAACTGCACCACACTCGGCCTGTTCATATACGGTAGGTAACATTAAGCAGATTATGATTTATGAACACATGCTTTCACTTTTACTGGCATGACTTTGGAAGATAAAAAGACACAATGACCCATTTTAACTGTGGAAACACCACATAACTGACACGAGAAGAGATAATGTCAGATCCTGTCTTTGTCCAGAGGAGATACACTGTTGTGTGGAGGGTCCCTGAGGGAAGTGGAGAAAGATGGTTTGAATGCACGAGCACTTACGCAAGTCACAACGGACACATAGGATTAATGGTTAGCTTAAAAAAATGGAGCGGCTATTAAAACATTGCAGCGATACTGAATAATCACTTGGAAGGACACAGACCTCTTACACAGTGTGTGCAACCTAGGGACCTAAAAGGCTTTTTGATACAGCACTGCAAGCACCTTCTAAATGTCATAAAGCAATTAGGCGCTCTCAAGCACTCAACGGAAATGTCACATAACTTGGATTTACAGTTTTCACTCGCTATGATCTGAGCTGAGTAATGTCTCTCTCGCAACAATAATGTATTTCAATTCATCTGAGGAATGATTCTCACTGCTGTCACAATCTGCTGAGACTGTTGATATCACACAGAAAAGAGGTTTTGCATGGTGAGTGACGACAGGTAACATCAGTAGAGAGCAGTCAAGTTGAAGCATGTTATTGGGATTATTTGTTGTATAGCATGACACTGCAGCATCCTGGGAGTTGATCACGATGGGATCTTTGTGTGGCGGTCCTTCCATGCCGACTGAATACAATCACATACATCAGGGCAGAGTGGCTGAACAATCAACAGCAGAGGAAATGAAAGATGCCTGAGTAGTTGTGGCTATTGTGCACTTGATCAGGACAGAGGTATCAATACAGTCTGAACAAACCCCAGAAGTCATTCTAAATCAAACTTTAAAGAGTTCAAAACATAGAAATATTATACAACAGAGAAAAGATGAAAATAAAAAGGAGCTAAATGATTGAGAATGAGATTGGAAAAGGCCCAGGAAATATAGAGCAACAACAGACCGAGGCAGAAAGATTAGAAGCCTTAGCGTCCATGTCAGGGTATTAATACAGTAGTCCAGAGGTCTGCATGTAATAGTGGTGGATTTGAGCACCATGTCTATGGCTGGGGGGGGGGGGGGGGGGGGGGGGGGGGGGGTCAGGGGGTCACTGGTCCAATCAGGTTGGAGGGTCATGGCTGTCAGAGCTGGTTTCCAGTGCAGAGCGGCAGGCTGGCACAGTGATGAGGATAATGACGTCTTAGTGTCACATCGGATCACACGGCAGACACAGAGGGGGGGGGGGGGGGCTCGGCTGGGCCCCAGATGCACCCGCAGTCCAGAGGCCGGGCCTTTAGTGTTCCCGTAGCTCAGTGGAGCTCCGGCACAGTGCAGGGAAAGGATGAAATGAAGCTGGATCTACTCGCATTTCAAATTTCCAGAAGGATCGATACATATGGTCAAGGGAGCAGTTGCTTTAATTGAGCCACATGGCCTGTAGCAGTGCCGGATGTCTGTTCACATGATTCAGTCAGTTATTTTAGGCCCAAATATGAAGGGACACCGAGGCTCATTAGTTTTTCCAGAGTTAAATCCTCTTCTTCACTGGTCACCCCCGCCTCTGGGCCACAAGCCAATGTGCGGAGTGCTCCTGCAGAATAGAACAGACAATATGGGTAAGAAACACACTTAATATGTCTAGACAAGATTTGACCAACAGCTCTCACCTAAGCACGAAAGGGCTTTGAGCTAAATGCTAACGGCAGCATGCTCACTATGACAACGTTAGCACTAAACACTAAGCACAGCTGACGCCCTAGGTGTTATGCTGCCGAAGGTGATTATAGATCAGCAGGTGTGAAGATTATTACATAGCACTGAAAGAGCAGAGCCAATCACAGTTAAACACGATAACGACAGCTCAGCAAAACTGAGAACTTGACATTATGTCTGAATGGTTAGGAGTCACAACATGACGACAAATGAACACCAAGAGGAAACTGTGAGCTACTTTAAAGCAGCTTTA